TGTCAAACTACATAACATTCAGCGTTGTCCTTCACCTAATAAAGATTATGTTTAAGATCATTCGCAGCAAGATGAAACACCAAGCACAACACAACATTCCTGAAGAGATGCGTGTTTTAGAGCAGCATGTAGCACAGACAATATCATCAATATTAGATTTCTCTCTGAAAAGTGTCTAAAGAATCAACTTAACGTCTATCATGTCCTCAATAACTTAAGAAGGTTTTATTTAAAGTATGGCATGTGACCTTGTGGGTCACGATTCGAATATTCAACATAAAACTAATCAGCAGCATAGGAAACATGCAAGACGAGGTGACTAGCGCAGTTCTCATCAATGGCAACGGAAGAGATTAGTTCAGAACCACAGCTGGAATCCGACAGAGGTGCCTTCATCTACCTCTACTCTTCAACATCTACATAGAAACGATCACACCCGATGTCTTGGAAAACCATGAGGGTAGCGTCAGTGTTAGGGGCAGAAAATTCACTAACTTGGGCTTCGCTGATGATACCGATTAAATAGCAGGAGATGAACAAGGATTTGTTTCCTTAGTAAAGTGCCTCAACCAAGCATCACTAACATATTGAATGGATATAAACTGTCAATAAGACCAAGTTAATGACAAACAACCCAAGTATTATCCGAACGGAAAAGAGAGCGAATGTAAAGAAGATGAACACATTGAAGAGCTTCAAAAATTAAGGTGATAAAACCTCTGATAAAGGTTCCAAAGATGTGGTGTATTCTAGTATTGTGCAGACAGCAAATGCGATGGCAAGGCTGAAACCTATTTGGAACTTTCTATTATTATCGTGTGCAGTACGTGCTGAGCCATGTATCATCTTTCAACTTTGGTGATTTTATTTGTAAGTGGCTTAGGCTCTTTTGTAATGGCTCTAAAAGTTGTGTTATAAATAATGGACATGTGTCATCTTTTTTAGACTAGAGAGAGGATGTCCTCAAGAAGATCCCCTTTTTGCACCTTGTTTATTATTGGGGTTGAGATTTTAGCTATAACTTTAAAGCAAAATGTGTATGTATGGGAACTGATCTTTTTTGTCAATGAATATAAATTGGGTCAGTATGCCGACGACGCTTTTTTTCTTCTCGATGGCTCTCAACTTTCTCTTAAAGCAGCTATGAATATCTTGCAAAGGTTTTTTTTCTAATATCTGAACTTAAGTGTAACATAACAAAAACAAAAGAAATTTGGATTGGAAACAAGAAATTTTCTAATCAAAGAATATGTCCCCATATGGGCCTAATTTAGTCCTCCTCAAACTTTACACTCCTTGGCATAGATTTTTCGACAGATCTACAACAAATGGTAGAAATTAATGATATGAAGAAACTTACAAAGGCAAAACGAATATTGGCAAGCTGAAGTCAAAGATATCCGTCAGTTGTTGGTAAGGTAATTGTCGTAAAAACCCTTGTTCTTCCCATATGTATACATCTTTTCTCAGCACTTCCAAATCCATCATCCAAAGTTAAAGCAGAACTAAATCGTACATTTTTTAAAACTTTTATGGGGTATAAAAGTAGAGAGAATTAAACACGATATATTAATAGCCCCAGAGAACGGGGTAGGACTCAATATGATACATATATTCTCATTTATTAGATAAATTTAAAAAAAGATGGATAAGAAGATTGCTGGAAAATGAAAATGAAGCTTGGCAGAACTAGTCGATACAACTATACTTAGAAATGAAAGGGATATTTGGAACTTAAGGAGAAGGAAATTAGAAGAATTTAGTAAGCTCATTAAAAACAATTTCTGGAGAGATGTCATTTTGGTAGTATCTTATTGGAAAGAGGAACCGCAAAGTGCAATTGAGTTCTTATCCATGAGTATTTTTAATTTTATCCCTCCTAGAATCTTCTATCAATACAAATTCTGGATAGAAGCAGGGTATTTTTTCGAAATTTTGAATGATCTAGTAGACGATCATGGCAATTTATTATTACCTTTTGAAATAATTAAACAAACAACTAGAAGTGGTGATTTCTTCAACTTCTTCTCCTTAATATCCAAAATTCCAAAGGCATGAAAAGACGCCATTAAAAAAAAACATTTAGCACATAATATTTTTGATAGGCAGGAGGATAAAATAATGAACCTGAAAAAATATAATTCACTCAAGTTTGTTTACAAATATCCTTTAAAAAGGGCCAAAAGGCAACAAACTGCTAAGCAAGAATCTTGGATGCAAGTATTAAATATAAATATAAGTAGTGAGAAGTGGTCTGAGATTTATAGCCGGGCCAACTTTTGTACCAAGGATACCAAGTTGATCTCTTTTAACTTTAAATTAATCCACATAATAATCGCTACTAATGATATTTTGAAAATAATTATCGTATTGGACGACAACAAATGTACGTTTTGTAAGAGAAGGAATTAAAATATTGAATATCTCTTGTATGATTCCAATATTACTTTACAGTTCTGGTACAATTTTATTGAACACTTTGCACCTTCTTGCCCAAATATTGTACATTTGTCCAAGAAAGAAACACTTTTAGGAAGTGAACAACTGGACAGTTTATGTAATTTCTTGCATTTTTGGGCAAATTATTACATTTACACATGCAGATTTAATATGAAAAATCCTTCCATTTATGCTTTTAACCAGATAACTGTAACGTGTAAGAACGTCTAAAAATATGCTGCTAATATAAACAAAAAAAGGACCAATCTCTTAAAATATGGACCTCAACAGATGAATAGGTAATTTGTATCTGATTTGGTGGTAAACATGAACAAAACACTATTTTCAAAATCCTGTGTCACCTACATGTATTTGTCTAGTTACATTGAGTAGGCTATCTAAATAGATTGAGTGCCATATGGATGTGTGCATGTGTGTGTATGTGTGTGTGCGTGTTGTCTTTTTTCTTTTAATATACACTATATTTACTATCGCTAGTTTATCTGGAATCAAGAAATATTTGATTATAAGGTGACCTTGGGATGGTTCCCTGACCCAACGGTCAGCCGATTACGTGGATAATAAAACGTTGCATGCATGCACAAAAAATTAGTTTACACTCCACACTGAACTTAACTCCCACACCAGGGATGAGAAATAATATGCCGTAAGAAAGTGACAAAATATAGACAAAAAATAGACTGTTATCAAAACAGACCGAATATCCCAGTCAAATACTGCTATCAGAACAGACTCAGTATCACAGGCAAATACTATTATCATAACAGACTGAATATTTCAAACCTTATGGTACAAGAGACAGAACAGAATATGTTACCTTTCTTTTAAATATTCTAGAATATTACGAGCTAAAGGTTTGCAAAAAATATAACATATCAGTTGAACAATAATCTTGCAGCAGTGTGTGAAATATATCATGATCATCTAATATTGATGCTGTATGTATCGCACATAGATGTCTTTATGCGCACGATGAAACGACAGTATATATATATATATATATATATATATATATATATATATATATATATATATATATATATATATATATATATATGGCGATATAACCCATTTAGGTAATACGTAAATGGTGCATATACTGGTAGCAATAATATGGCACGTCCATCTTCATCAGCGTAGGAAGGGACGGTATGGGTTTTACGCAAAACCGAATTAATTTTTTAAACTTTTGATCGAACACAAATCACATTTCGTTTAATAATCCACCACATCGTATCAATTGGTGATACAAAACTATGGCAAGCGGCTTAGATATTGCTTTAAAAATGTAATAAAAAGTCGATTTCGTTTCTAGAAGGCATTCCGCGTGATCTTTAGTCAAACGAATCTTCTTGTCTTAAATAACATGCTAGGAGAACACGACGAAGAAGTTGAACCTCGGTTTACACGTAAAGGGCATCATTATAATGCAAGTATTATTTGCAGTACAGAATTTTTTTCAACACAGTGAAACAAATCACACCTTGAGTCTCGATGATCATTTTGCGGTATCATATAAAACTCCAAGACACAAATCTCATATGTAAGTTTTAGCCAAACATTTATCAACACATTGGATGAATTGCTTACGATGATGCCACTCATGCAAACGTATTAACTATTATAAATAAAATACACCCACTGTGATAATTTTAGATTTTATGCCAATTGTTGCGCCTTTGATTTCAAGAAGCATGTCTTGTCATTTGTATTTCCCCTGATAGAGTCTATGTGAAAAAATAAAACAATTAAAAACATCCTGCACTTCATTTCTTTCAAGCATTATTCCTTTACAGCTCTATGATGTTAAACGAAGTAAGTAAAAAAGGCGAAAACTAACACGTTTTATAAAATTCAACGAATAGTTTATCTCCTTAGAATAATATATGAACATTTAAAATCAGCTCAAAGTATTTTGAAATTATCCCAAAAACTCCAACACGTTCTATTAGAAATCGGCGTGTATGGTGTTCGAACTTAATTCAAGTGGTATTCCAATTAAATTTCGATGTGTTTATTTTCCCTTAATATCTAATTTGCTAATGTTCATATTGCCCGATATGTGAAGATTTGATAAGAGTCGGTTGATGTATCACAGTAATATAAACCAAAATATTTTGTCTTAACTCACCATAATTTCAAATCAATGTTTTAGTTCACTAATCTTTTTCAGCATTTTGTAATTTCAGTAAATAATAATCAAAATAGATAATTCCTCCCAAATTATAAACTGAAAACAACAATAAGACTGGTTCAGTTTCAATTGTTCAGGCACAAAGGAATTATTCTCTACCATTCTAATTGACTTAGGTCTCGATTACCATTTTTTGAAAATAATCTGTCAATGTAATGGGGAAAATTCCATTCTGGAAGTTTCAAAGGTCAAAATGAAGACTGTATCTTCAATTCAAATTAAAGCAAATATGTTTGTAATGTCTAGTGATCTGATTATTTAATCCACATGTCAGTGAAAAATTTAGATGTTTTGTGATGTTTACAAAATAAATGTCACTGATAAGGTATATGAAGAACTTGAATTTGCTCCGGCGACCTAGTGGTTAGAGTATCCACTTTGGATGCGGGAGATCGCTGGTTCGAACCCAGGCATATTTATACCGAAGACTTATAACAATGGAGTTAACTGCTGACGCTCAGCACTAAGAAGTCAGGACTTTTCGGCCTGGTGTCAGAAAAATGTAACTGGGTAGGACATGTTGCTCCATGTCTGCGGCGTGGTGCCCTAGTTCTAGACAACACTATAAACTGTCACTGCACACATCGTACCGATATGACTGAAATTTATTTTACAGCTTCGTTAAACATCCAAAACACACAAACACACATACGCACACATACAGACAGAACTAAAAGTTATTAAATAAAGCAAGCTTTTTGTTGCTAGTTTGCTTAAATATCTGAGAAATGTTTTTGGATATTGCAACCTTTAAAACTGGTATTTTCTTCCAGACCAAATTATCTACGTAAGTAAAACCATGCATCTAAATTTGCAGATGATATTTACTATCAACAAGTATCAGCTTCCAATGTAGGAGCCTGACTGGTATAGTCCCATATTAAACTGATTGTTAACAAGGTCAACAACAATGTCATCAAACCTATAGTACACATAACGCGCATAGGTAAATATGTAAAAATTATATTAATGTGAAAGGATACACTTGCTAAACAGGTTTCATGAGTTACAAATCACGTTTCTATCATTAAACAAATGCGTTAGTGATCGCCTCAAAATGATATAGACGTAATACTATTATCTCATCTTTAGATCACTAACATAATGGAAACATGATGCAGGAGAGAAAATGTGAAATTGGCTTCATAGTACGTTATGGTGAAAGAGTGTACTATAATGTATGTGCCATACGTCGATGTAGAAACAAACGAGTTGCCGAGATGACTCTACATTGCACACATTTGCCTTGTGTGGTATCAGTGTCATCACATGCATGAATTAGTGCGCTCCATAACAAAAAGACATTCATTAGGGAATAAAAATAAAACAAATTTCAACAAAATCACAAAATGCTAAAGAAACCTAACGATAAATGGCAAACCGTATTTGCTAATAAGTCTTTCTAGGAATCATGATACTAATTCAGTTCGCATTGTAAACCTATGCAAACACCATGGTATTATAAATTCAATAACTTCAAATTTCCCAGTGTCTATGATCAAACCTACACATTATAGACGAAACCTGGACATCTGCTTTTGTGTACTGGAAAGTACATGAGCTGCGGCATATTCTGGACCTGCATGCATTTGAAACGTATGTTTTCAATCCCGCACAAAACTTTAGTAATGAGTGTTCCAAACTCAAGACTGTTAAAGTTCTGAAATCCTGTCTCTATTTTTTTTCACTTCAAATAGGATAAAATGATATCTCTATTTTCTCGCTTACAACAAGGATAATCTCACAAAAGAATCTTTTTTTCTAAAATACATTACAAACTTATCCTGGCTATCAAAACCAGTATAAACTCTGTTAAATTTTCACCCATTTCAAGGCTGGTTCCACCCTTGATTTTCTAAGAATAATAGTATAATACATAAGTAAGTAATGTAAATAGTTCTGCTTGTCAGAGATTACATTAGTGAATATTAAATTATATTGCATGTTAAATGTTCACATTTCAATGACGCTCTTCAAAAACATTTAAATATATGAGCTGTGCATAGGAAAAAAAATCAAAATAAAGCTGTCAAATAAGAGTCACTTTTTATGTCACATTATATCTCTCTTCAATTTAATGCTAAAATATATTACCTGTCTTGCCATATTATGTAATTAAGAGGTTAAATGTCAAGGCAACAATCTATATGTACATGTATTATTACAGAAAATAGGTTTAAATGACAAAACTTACCAACGTTTCCTGCCAGAAAAAAATATAATGTATAAAATAAAGTAAGGTAAACATACATTCATTATATATATGTGTGTGTGTGTATGTGTGTGTGTGTGTTTCCTTTCGATGTAAAGTCAGTACTGGAATGGTACATCGTAACTGCATGTCTCACAGGCTGGAAAATGCAATGATATTGTTGTTGTTGTTGTTGTTGTAGGGTTTAACGCCATTTTCAGCACAAGATAGGCTATAAATGGCGGCCAGTAAAAATGGTGGAGGAAAACCCAGGGATGAACCACCGACCCACGAGAAGCTACTGGCAGGCTTTGTCACTTACCCACGTTAGCCGAGCATGGACTTGAACTCACGCAGAGGTGAGATGGCAGTGATCCGCAACGGTCATCGTTTTAGACCACTCGGCCACTCGGGGCCCCTGAGATTTATTAGATGTGCTCTCTTCGCAAGAATTTGTTTCGGCAACAACACCAACGCCACTTTCTCCTTTTTTACCACACGTCGACGAATTTAGACAAAGGCAGAAAGAAGAATTGGAGTAGTTTTACAGCAGTAGAGACAGGACAAGCATTTCTCTTTGAACCGCAACAGTGAGAAGATAAACGGAAGCGAAGAAAACGACATGAAGAACAGTAGCGAAGAAACAAAGGCTAGAAACGAAGGATAAAAGTGAAAGTCTAACGGTCACGGTACTCTTGGACATTTTGGATGACTTGAGAGATCTAAAACAACTGTATCAGACTTCTCTATTATTAACCATGAGAAAAAGACGTTCCAAACAGCTTAACCATTTGACTACAAAAGAGATACAACCGTTATGGATTTCTATAAAATCATTGATAGGAGCAAGTCCACAAAAAGGCCATGACAAAGGCTAAGACTATTAAAGCGGATTGTTGCTCCTTACCGAGTTTTTTCTCAAGAAAAACAAACACCCAAGTGTCCTTTTCATGGCCGCACATTTCTTTCGAAAAGAGTTGATATTCATTTTGCCAAAATCAATGAAACTCAGTATCCTTTTAAACCTTATGATGTGTGTTTGTGTGTGTGCGTGAGTGTAGACTATTATTCCAAACAATCAAATCCAGGAATCACGTTTTTAAGTCTGGTCTATTCTGGTACAAATATTTACAATTGAATTCATCACAGATCACAACACCTTTTTAAAAGTTCTTCGACTTCTACTGTGTTTGTATTTTGGTTCACTCTGTTGTTTTTTTATAAAAAAAAATTCTCTTTCGCATTTTCCCCTTCTTTTTCTTACTCCCTCTTTACTCTCCTTCGTTTTGTTTTCTTTCCGAACGTCTTGGGATGTACCCTTGGAAAAAGCGGAGGGGTTCAACAACGATGTGTGGGATTCTTTGTTAACCACACTCAAACAGGTAATGTCAAACTAATGAAGACGATCGCTTGAGACTTTCCATTCATCACGACAATTTAAAGTCTCCCTTTGGATCGAATTTAGCAGCCCAACAGAATTGACACCTTCCTAAATCATCAACAAGATTTAACACGTGCAACACGTTTTACATTACCGATGGAATAGCGACATTGTACATGACCCGAATGTGACCTTGGTGGGAACATCGTATGCTAACAAGGTCTACACAAAAGAATGAAAAAGACCCTGAAAAACTATTTGCCATTTGAAACGAACCAAATAATGAAGACAAGCAGAACTCCTGTTACAGCAAGCGAGGACATCCAAAGACAAGCACTGTGGCATTCCTGAAATGCAAAAATTGTAAGTCATGTTGGCTCCACGTTAAACCTTGAAGGTACACGCTCAAGATGAGCGCGGGCCGCTGTTGTTTCGAGGTAAAGATTTCATAAAAGGACAATACATTCGTGTCTATTATCACAATAAACATCTTGATGTCATTACCAGTATCTCTGCATTCCTGTCATACAGTTATTACTGTAAGAAATATGAAAATGGCTATAACAATCGAAAGCAACGTAAGCAATGCAGATCACAATGCCCAAGATGTTTGGCCTCTGAACCCTATCTTGACGAAGGACAATAACGAACGCATTGCCCAATTTGTCAGAGCCCGTTTGGCAGCCCTGCCTGTTACCAACAATATTTGAAACACAATGATCACAGCAGGAATGTACTTTGCAACTCCTGAGATTGTGCCCTACTTGTTGTAACAAGATAAACGAGTTTGGGATTTTCGGATTAATAACAAAACACCATTTATGGGAATGCAATACAAAATTTAATGTTATATGAAACTATCAGATAAAGTATGATAGACACGTGCGTGAATGGGTCCCAATATGGGACTAATTAACATAATTAGCACGATCTTAATACAACAAATACGATAACAAGACAAAGAATGAACGATTCACGGTATATCACAAACAGAAATATGACCTTCACAAAAGTAAAATACAAATGATATTTCGTTCAATATAATGACTTAATAGTTTTATTCATAATATCAAATCAAATGATAGTTCGTTTAAAATAACGAATTGATACTTACGCACAATAGTAAAACACTGGATATTACGAAAAAAACACATTAGTCCACAGCCAAAATATTATATATCTGGAGCAAAGCTTACACTCCCTTAACTCTTTGTTGGCCAGACAAGCAAAGATTTGTAGTCACTGACACCATTGATACCAGGGTTAGACTTTCAGCGTCCATCACATTGGTCTGCAACGCCTGATCTCCCTAAACCCGACTAGGAATGTTGGTCTATTCGAAAGACTCGAAAACGTACGCACAACGCGTCTCAGCACTGCACACGCAGCATACGCAGCTCTACACAGCACACGCAGCTATACACAGATGTATACACAGCACAGCACAGCACTGCAAAACCATCATACACACACTTCTACACCAGAGTTTTAGAGCATAGCACAGCACGAACACAACACTGCACCAACACAGCTCTACATCAATACCAACACAGCAATACACTAATACAGCACTGCAACACCAACATAGCCCTAGAGCTTTATATATATATATATATATATATATATATATATATATATATATATGAAATAAACTGACGACGAACAGTACGAAACTAGTAACTAACTAGCCTAAGCGCTTTCGACTTTTAATAAGTCTTTTTCAAAGGCAAATACAAAACATATATACGACAAACAAATGAACACAAAAAAGTTGTGTTTGTAAACCTCTACATGGCTATCTCCACATGTGTTAAAACTATAAATACAACCAGCTTGTATAGACTAGTTGCGGTAACTG